GGCTGGATTCCATTTACACTTGGCCGATGCATTTCTGCTAATGTAACTGTATACAGATAACAAAAACGCATTGTGTTTACACTTGTGTTCAACGCAGTTTAGATCTGTCTCCCGCCCTGCAAATGTGGTTTGCATGATCTGACCATAATGCGATCACAATGCGTCCTCTTCAAAATGCAGGAGTGCATTTGTTTGTGCTGTGTCTGTCAGTGGCACTGCTCAGTGGCACCGCTCAACAATAGAGCAGAGAGAAGAGGAAAAGACTGCTTTAGCTTTGCCTGGCACCAAGCAACAAACAGGCACACCACACATATAGACAGAGGAAGGAAACCAACTGCAAGTCGGAAACGTTGGCTAACAATAGAAAGTGTGATTGTGTTCTTGTGGCAAAACACCTCTCAAAGTGTCTTTACAGACAGCTAGAAGTGCTCTGGAAATGAAGAGCTGGGGCTATTTCTGGAGCATGCAGAAGGCCAGGGACATACTTGTCTGTTTTGTATCTTGACTTGCTTAAAGAACACGATTTGCCTTTCTTTCCAGACCATTCAAATACAGTCAAAGCATTTACCTTCTATGTACTATAACCAGAACTTCACTTGGACATCAATTTGTTCAAATGTACTGGGCTCTGACTATTCATGTCAGTTTTGATGAGGTTTTGGGAAGTTTGGTTAATGAATTAACTTGTTAAAGTGGAATTTATACTCAATTTAATCATTTGTTGTTTTTTTTTGTTTGTTTGTTTTGTCAATCTGTTTTGATTGCCACTGCGATTGTCACCAAGAATGGTATTTAACAAGCAACATCATTAGGAATGTGGACTTTTATTTTGTCTCCAGTTGAGTTGGTGGTAGTTTTTGGTTAGACTGCAGTTGAGCTGAGACAGAATTTTTTCAGGCTATGGTCAACATGAACAAAAATCTGTTGGGCTAGAGATGCTTTGGGACAGAATTTTGTTGGGCTACACTCTCACAAATAAAGTTTCCGAAATAGTTCTGAGTAAAACCTTTACTTTCTATAGAACCTTTAAATTATGTGGAGGTTCCTAAAACTTTTAAAAGGTTCTCCACACACATACACGTACCTACACACACCTCATTTACAAAACTGTATTTTTAAAGAACTGTCTTTTGAAAGGTTCTTTAGGGAACCAAATGCAGTTCTTTGTATGGCATCATTTAAAAGACACCTGGCACCTTTTAAGGGGAAATCTGCATAATTAAATGGTTAAGATGTAAACAAAGTCATTCAGAATGGTTTGACATGGAATGCTATATTCTAGAGAAAGTTACTGAGCCAGAATTGTTCGCAGTGGTGGTGATAGGAACCAGATGTCTAAAGAATTTAAAGCCTTTAAAAAAGCTATATCACAAAAAGTTACTGCATGAAATGGTTATAAATGCCTTGCTTGATTGCATTGCTTTATGATACTTTTGTGATAAGATTTTGGGCTAAAATATTGTTTTTTAAAAACATTCACGGTGGAGACGTACATGCAGGGTGTTGTGAGACAAAATAATACCCAAAAAACATTTTTTTTTGATTAACTGCTAATTTACAATTATCAATATTACATATAAATGATTAGAAGATGTGTACATTCACTGGTCATTTTGGATAGTAAATAATATGGCTATATGTGTTACAGACATAGGTGGTCTCTACCACCTTTCTTGTAATGAGTCAGTAAGTTTCCTTAAAATGCACCATTAACAACTGAATTATGTAATTTTTTTAAAAATCAGTGATATTCTGCTTTAAGAGTGTACAGTCAAGTACAGACAGAATTTTATCAGGTTACAATCGGATTCAGACTGAATTTTGTCATTTGTCATGGACAAGTTTTGTTAGACTACCATTGGGTTTGGACAGGATTTTGTAGTGCTACACTGGGATTTGAGCTCTATGTTGCAGATAAATGTGGGAAGATTTTTTTTGGGCTGCAGTTTGATTTGGGTGGACCTTTGTCATGCTAAAGTCAGGTTCAGACAGAATAATGTTGGGCAACAGTCAGATGGACAATTAAAGTTCAGACTAGAATTTAATGCCTGTTTGAAGCTCTAACTACAGTTTGGCTGTTCAAACCCGTGCAAGATAAAATGCACAAGTCGCAGCCTTTCTCAAGTGGTTCTGTAGAAACAGATGAAGCCTCTTAATCGCACCCTAAACAAGTCCATGCCAGATGACTTAATCTTTTTTGCATGTTCATCGCAGAGTGCTAAACCAATCCCAAACAAATAAAATCTCAGGCACACACACCTGCGTGCTTATACACGAAGCAAACTTGCTAGAACGAATATATGCCAACACGAAATGGCTATATTGAATGTCTCAGATCCATCATCACTCTTTCCACCCTCTTATCCAGAAGAATAGTCATTTCATCCCAATGGAAGATGAGAGTACGCTACACAATGACTTCACTATCATTTCATGTCTCCTACTTCCCTCCTTCTTTCACTGCAATGTTGGCGGCACTTCTGTTCTACAGCCGTAGGCTTGTGCCATCTGCATTATACTCAACATAATACAAGTTTCCATCCAAACCAGCAGTGGCTCCAAGCAAGAACAAGGCCCATGTACACTGAATGTACCTGATCCAACTATGTACATAATTCCCACATTAATCAAATGTCACATCAACACAATTATTGCCAACAGTAAAATGAAATACAAAGTAGTGTTGATGTGGTATACAGTGAGTCAGAGACCACCCTTCATTCATTTAATTTCAAGTCTAAACAGACATTAGGTACAAGTTATTAATTTTTCAGGAGATATTTCAGAAGAGATTAGATATGAAACAATCCACTTGCATGAGGAAGGAGAAAGTCAAAATAAGTGAAAAACAGGAGTTTTCAAAACTGGAGTTCAAAAAATGATTAAAAGATATAGAGAAAATGAGACTCCTAACAATTGTGCAAGACCTGGCAGACCACCAAACTGAAAATCAAGCTTCACTCTCAGATCCACAGGTGTTTCAGTCCATCCTCCCACAACTCAAGACAACTCAACGCTATGGGTCTGAAAGGATGTGTAGCTGTCAAGAAGCCATTACTGAGAAAAGGAAACAGACAACAAAGAAGCTGCTGGTGTTCTTAGAACAATGGACTGACCACCCCAGAGTCCAGACCTCAACATCACTGAATGTGTTTGGGATTACTTGGATCGTGAAAAGTGCAACCAACTTCTAAGACTGAACTGGAAGTGTTTCCCTGCAGATTTTCTTGAAAACCTGAAAGCAATTCTCTCAAAAAGAATGGAAGCTGTAATAAAGGCAAAGCATGGACAAACAAAAATGATATTATATATAGTTGTTGAGTTGTTCCTGATGCTGAACAATGAATAACTTGTACTTAATGGCTGTTCTGACTGGAAATTAAATGAATGATGGCTGATCTCTGACTTTTGCACAGCACTGTACTTCACTAATGAGGAACGTACAAATTTGAATCAAGTAAACTATAATGCATTCGTTTTGTCAGTGTAGGAAGAGCTGGTGTGTGCGCACATGTGTATTTGTGTGCACATCTTCCTGCTCACTTGCATCGTGTCTGGCTTTTGTATTCACAAGTGCAGCATCAAGACTGTAATTATTCATTTACAGAGAAGAAAGCAAGGGAAAAGAAAGCCCACAGAGAGACAGACAACATTCCACAAGGATACAAACACAGGATGTATATGAGAGAGAGAGAGAGAGAGAGAGAGAGAGAGAGAAAGAGAGAGAGAGAGAGAGAAACATTATTGCCCCCTTACTCATGCTTGCCCTGAATACTTCCAAATGCTGAAAGTGCAATGAGCTCAAGCTGGCTCTGTGAGGGAACTGATGGGGGATCCAAGTACCCACACTGCAGTTACGCAAACACAGACCTCACTTACTGTTAGAGAGCTAAACCTTAAAGTATGTTTCCTGGCATTGCAGTGATAGCTCAGCAAAAATCAAATTTACACAGTTTTCCACTTTCCCCAAAGTTAGTTAATCAGCCAAAACCTTCTTTAGTTTTGCACTCGAGTTGTGAGGCTAATGCAATGAACAAGTAACGGAAGCTTATACCCACTGGTTAATATCATGAAAAGTACATGTGGGGAATTCCACCAATTTTTCAAAATTTCTGCATAAATAAATGATTAAGATGTGAACAAAGTCATTCAGAGTGGCTGCTCCCTTCCAGAGAAACTTACAGAGTCAGAATTGTTCACAGTGGTGGTGACAGAAACCAGACGTCTGAAGAGTTTAATGCCTCACAAAGCTCCCTTACAGAAAGTTATTACAAAAAATAGTTAAGCATATGTTTTGATAAGGTTTTGGCCTAGTTTTAAAATAGATTTATGGTCGAGGGAAACATGCACATCAAAACAGACCCCAAAGAAAACTTACTTTTCAGATCTACAGTACCCTCATTAAAATTACATAAAAACTCATAAGACACATGTTCACTGGTCAGTTTGGGTAGTAAATAAAATGGCTATATTTGTGTTGTAGACATGGTGACACCTGGTTCCTATCACCACCACTGTAAAGGAATCTGAGTTGGTAAGTTTCTCTACAATTAACGTTTCACATCAAACCACTCGAAATGACTTTGTTTACATCGCAACCACTGAATTCTAATGAAATTTTTAAATATCAGTGGAATTCCCCTTTGAATCATCTCATTGGCCACAAAGCATGGTGTTATTAAATATTATCAAAGAGACTTGCTAATGTGGTTTCTGACACTATAAAATGGACAGAAGTATATCACATAGTTAGAAAGCGCAAGTCTGTTTAACATTAACACAATATGGTTTCAGGTTAGTGTGCAATGATGAAGATAAGCACTTACTGAGGTATCACTTTAAAGAAGGACAGAAAGATTATGGAAATGTGTGGAAGGCTTTTTAAGTTTAGTGACTGGGTGAAAGAAGCAGAGAATTTTCTGAGAGAGAGAGAAAGAGTGAGAGAGAGAAAGGGAGGGAAAGAAAAAGAGAAACAGATAAGAAGAATGTGAGTTGGTTACCTTGAAGAAGTTTTTGACTGCAGGTACGTGGCTCGCGCATTCCGTCTGTCGAAACTCATCCACATTCTCTCCAACCTGCGAAATTAGAGAAAGCCATGGTTGAACTGAATATTTAATTAGAAATAAACTCACCAATTAATGTTAATACATGACAGTTTCAGTAAATCACAGTAATTAAAGAACAACAAAGACAATTTTTCTGTTCTGCATAATTAAATTTTAAGTAAGATTTAAAAGTAATTCTGAGTGGTTTGATGCAAGATGCTCTGGTCTAGAGACAATTACAGAGTCAGATTTGTTTGCAGCAGTAGTGATAGGAACCAGACGTCTGATATATTTAACTCTAAAGGTTCCCTCACAGAAATCTATTATATGAAATAGTTCCAAATACACTGCCTGATGTTTAAGACATTGATTGTATTTTTTACAGTGGTTTTGGCCTAAAACCTATTTTTAAAGTCCATTCATGGCAAAAGGTTACATGCAGGACATTGTAAATCAAAATAGAACCCAAAGAAAAGGTATTTTCTAGACAGTAAATAAAATGGTCATTCTAGACAGTAAATAAAATGGCTATATTTGTGCTGTAGCTGTTGCAACTCCTGGTTCCTATTACCACCACTGTAAAGAAATCTCAGTAAGTTTCTCTACAATTAACCATTTTATACCATTCTGAATGAATTTGTTTCCATCTAAACCCATGAATTATGCAGAACTTTTAAAACACCAGTAAAATTCTCTTTTAATTTTTGCTCCTGTAGAGGTCAGTTATTGGATTTCCAGGCCAGTTATTGGAGCACACGTTTATATGTTAGTAATTCAGCATGTAGAACTGAATAAACATCACTGTGCACATTCACAAGCATCCCAAACTTGCTGCACTACATACTACAGATGACGTCAAACAACTGTTCCAATTACAAAGAAATTTTCAACCAAGAAACTCATGAGTCAGCACTAAATCTGTCTGCTTCATCACATATTCACATTCATCAGATATAACAGTTCGCTTTCCCCTTTTTATTCATGTGTTATAACTGCTTATTAATGATTAATGAAGTGTTTATGACCTAATCAATAACGATTAACAAACTATTTTTATACAATTCATAAATGCTTTGTAAGGTTAGTCTTAATTTAAAGTGGTACCGAATTTTGTTGTGTTTGGGTTAGTTTCACAGTCAAAACATGATTATGTGGTTGGGTTTGGGGGGTGTTCAGACAGTCAGGTTTGGATGCTGTGGGTCATGCTTGAACAGAAAGTTCTCAGGCTGTATCAGGTTCAGACCAAAATCTGAGGCCCAATTAAAGCTCTACTGTGTTTGTATGAGCTCATCTGGCACATGAGAAGTTTCTAATTGCGCTGTGAACAGGTCACCAAAGCCACTCCTCCTTCTTCCCTGCATTGGCTGACTGGCTACAGATGCCACCTCTGACCTCAAACACAACATTCCAGCCTTGTCGTCTTGGCAACCAGCGCTGGGGAGGTTAGTGGGAAGTTTCCCAGCATGCTTTTCTCTGCATGGATTTGAGCTCCTTCGGTTACGAGTTTGTCTGGGGGTCAAAGCCCTTTTGTGGGACGAAGCCATTGACACATCTCATCAACAGGAGCCTCACATACATCCCTCCTCAAAAACGGCCCTTTCAAAGACCTTCTGCCCTGGCACCAGCCAATGAGGAGCCACCTCAAGCTCACGCCCCAAAGAAGCAACCAGTGGAAGCAGACCATCAAAGGTTTCACATCCAACGAAAAGAAGCCAAAGTGACCTCATTCAAACGTACATGTTGAAAGGAGGCTATAATGGTGATGAATAATGCCTTCACTACTTAAAGCTTTAATGGAAGCCAGAAAAGCTACTTCCAAATGTAGTTTCAGACAAGAGCACCGTCTTCGTTGGGTTTCAGTTCAACGGCAGATTTGGCTGTAGGGCTGTCACTATTGATTAGTAATCAAGCAATCTACTGATTATTTGATTATTAATAGAGTAATCAAAAGGCCAAAATGAAAAAAATAAGAGGCTGTAACTGTACAACACTACACACAGGGAAAAAACAGGTATATACGTCCATAATACTTTAAATAAAGCACACGTGATAGTGATATTATGGGCTTAAAGAAATGGGTAAACGCCATGTGTTTATTTTTACAATGTGCAACACCAAATTTTAAAAAACATATGTTCCAAAAAATATTGGTGCCCTCCATTATTAATATTTTCCAATGGCAAGAATAACAGCACTGAGCTGTTATGTAAAGCTTAACAAGGTTGGAGAGCACTTGTTGAGGGATCTTGGACCACTCCTCCATGCACTCCATGCACAACATTTCCAGTTCCTTGATACTCTTGAGTCTTCGTTTGTGGGCTGCCCTCTTCAATACACACCACAGTTTTTAAACTGGGCTCAAATCAAGAGACTCACAGGGCAATTGCAAAACTCTGTTTTTGTGTTCCTGCAACCATTTCTTGATGGATTTTTATGTTTGTTTGGGGTCATTATCTTGCTGAAAGGTCCACTGATGGCCAAGCTTCTGCCTTCTGGCTAAAAATCTGCTAATATTTTATGGACTTAATTATATTAATTGATTTTCACAACAGACCCTGGACCACTAGCAGCAAAACAGCCTCAAAGCATCAGTGATATACCACCGTATTTGACATTGGGTATCAGGTGCTTTTGAATGTATGCAGTCCCTTTTTGGTGTAAATGACATATCAGACAATTTAATTTAGTTCCAATGACATTTTTCGAAGTTTAGGGGCTGCATTTTGTGGTTTGCTCTTCAGAAAGGCTTCTTTTGTGGAACTCCAAAAAGCTTCTGTTCATGGAAGTAATATATGACAGTGGATTTTGAAATCTGAAAACCTCAAGATTCCACTACATTATGCAGCTCTGAAACTGTGATCTTTGGGTTCCTTTTTGCCTCTCTTAACATCCTCCTCAGCCTACCCCAGTATGATCATGCATCCTCCTCTTTGCAAATTTTTAACTTTTTATTATCACCATGAATGTTCTTAATGGTACAACAGACTCATTTTGTTATAACCATTTTCTAATTTGTGCATTAATTTTGCACCATATGTTTTTGAAAGGACACACTGTTCTTAAAGTAAAACAACACTCTTGTCAGAATGATTTCTATTAGATAAATAGTACATAATGTCTCCAAACATTTTTGAGGAACATGTAAATCATATGTATTGTTTATTTTACATTATTGTTTTTGCCAGATTTTGAGGGGGTGCCAATAATTCTGGAGCTGACTATATATCCTATAGCAGTGCTGCAGTAGTCTCCAGAGATTGTCTGGTTTAAAGACTAGGAAAGGAGGAACTACAAGCCCTGTTTGTATTATTGTGAGAGAACACTGTTGGGAGAAAACAGAAAAATAACAAAATTTTGAATTTTGTCAAACTGATGAGGCTGAGGGATGCAATCCTGCACTGCAGAATATGATATAAAAAATGAAATTAAAAATTGTATATAAAACGCTAAATTTAGGCCACAATGCCCCTTTAAAGGAATGGTTTGGCCAATGATTTACACAGTTTACTCCCTTACCCCAAACAGTCCATCAGCCAAGGCATGTTTGGTGTCTGAAGTTTGCTTTTTCAGTTTTGCACTATGGCTATGAGGCTAATGTAGCTAATGAGTAATGGAAGTCTATGTCACCCAAAATCTTTTTGGTGATATACATTTTGTATTAATTGTATTACTTTGATCCCTAAAACAGCTAACTTCAGACCCCAAACATGGCCTGGCTGACTAATTTGGGTAAGGGGGGAAAAGGTGTCAATCTGATGATGCCAAAGAGAGAGCAACAGGCACACATAACCTGTGTACTTGTAATCATGGAAATTTTCAAGTAATCACTACCATGAGGTAAATTTTATTGGCTATTTTTTTAATTGAGTGATTGAGTTTAATCAAGTAATCGTTACAGACCTATTCAGCTGTTTGAGCTGAAGCTCCAGCCGACAGATCTGGGACTCGCTGAAGGAATGTTTTATTAATTTGAATCATCTGGAATCATTCTGGTTTCATTAGCTTACCCAACAGATCATGACTATCCGCGGCTGCCCCGATTCCGCCGGGCTCACCCTGCAAAGTCCATACATGGGTTTGGCATTGTGAAACTTCTTGGTCAATTCTGTCAACCCTCCGGCTACAGTGGGCAGGACAGAAAGAGGAAGAGACAGAGGAAAAAGAATGGGGAGTTGAGACAGAGAGGACAGGAATGGAGAGACAGATTACAAATTTATCCCTATGAAATAATGACCACATAAAAGATCTTCATTTAAAAACAAATCTTTCATCAACAAGACTTGCTTGCATGATTTCACAAGATTAACATCTCAGCTATGTAAACATACTGCAGTAGGATTGCAGCAAAAAGAGTCATTCTGTATTCTGGTTACTTCTACTCAAGTAAAATTTTGATCCATTTTTATTTTCCTGATTACTTTGAAATGTTATGACTTGTCCTACATTTGTGAAGAAAGTAGGACTGAAAATGATTAAAAGAATCCATCGTGATTAATCGTATTGCTTTGTGTAGTTACTTGTGATTAATCACATTTGTCTTATCTGCTCAAATTGAACCCTAAAAAAGATTTTTTTCCATTTAAAAAGCAGAGCATTTTGTTCTAGTCATAAGTGGACAATGCACTGTACAATGTATTTTCAGCACATAAATGCAAGGTTCACATAAACTTGAACATTAAAATAATATGATTTCCACGGAATGAATGCAGTTTTCAAACTCCATCACCAACTTCATGTGAGAGCAACAGTAGCTGCATGTTCCAGCTCCCAGATTGTCACTTCTCGCTATCATAACATTACATGTGACTTCATCTTTCTGAATCTTTATAGATGCTTTTATTAATTTTCTGCTTGCTGATTTATCTACAGTTCTCCTGCAAAAGTCGTCCTTCAGTTCTAATGTTACTGATATTACTAATATTGCCTTTGTCAGCAGTGAATTGTGCTTACATAAGGCTCAACATCCTTCAGCGATAAACAAATTCACTATAGTAGTAGCTGGAAATGTTTTTCAAGGTAGCTTTTAAAAGCTGTATTTGACTGAGAGGGCTACAGCCATAGAGTCATGGCAAGAGCCCGCTAACAGCTAAGCTTCAGGCTGAACTATGAACAGTTTCAAGGGCCAAATTAGGAAAATGCATTAACCATGTTAAAAAATGTGTGGCATTGATCATTTATTATGTTATGTATTAATTATGACACCATCAGAAGCTTTTTATTCACTTACATTTTATTCATTAACGTTGTTTCTTTTCTTTTGTTTAATTTCATTCTGTTACATTGCTGACGGCATCTGCAGTGCTTTGTGACTGATCACACATGCAGATTCTGTATGTAATAAAAGTTCTGCTGCAGTTCTACAAATTAGTCAGCATGTACAGAGTTTTTTGACTTGCTACCTTTTTACTTTGTTGCAAGTTGTTTCTGGAAAGGTACTTTTACTTTGTGTTTTGCTGTGTTTTTCTATTTTTGTAATAGCATTTTATCAGACACAGCTTTTGTTTGCTCAGTTTAATAATGTGGCCTATGCAAAAGTTAAGGCACATTTATTATTTTGTTTTATTTTTTCCAACATAATAAATTCAAATAAATAGAAACTGTGCACTAAATTTTGCAGAAAAAATGGCACATTTAAGTGTTCTCTGTAGAGAACGTATTTTCACACAGAAAACCATCAAAACATGTAATTTAACCAGGAGTGTTCAAACCTTTGCATACAACTGTACTTATTTCTACTTTGGTTTAAACATTCAGCTTCGAATCAGTCATCTTACCTCCAGAATCAGAGAGCTTCAGGTTGTTGGTGACTCCATCATATGTGAACAACGCCCTGCAGATGAACAAAACAGTTTATTTTAAACTTACAGCAGTCAGGCATCTCAAACTAGTTATAAAGAGTGTCAAGAGTTCTGTTTAGTTATAAAGACAACACATTCATCATCATGAGTATTATATAGAAAAGTAATGAAGGTGTAAATTATTTCTAACAACAGGAGGTTGGTGATAAAGTGGCCCTAGAAACACAGTTAATATCAACAGGAACTTCAGTCTGGTAAGCATCACGGACTCTCCATGAAACTAATGGTCCAGCAAGCATAACTAATGCCCCATCCTCGCTAACGTCAGCCCCCTGGAATGCACCGAGTGGGCAGGCAGCTGTGAAGACCATATGCTTCCACATACACCCAACACACTATCCTCAAAGTCTCTGACTGCTCCACACATTTGGCATTTTATCATGCATACCTGGGGTTAACCCCAACAAAACATTCATGCCCCATGGAGTAATGGATGTACCAAATGTTCTTAAAGGTGAACCCAGAAGAGCTTTACGCTTCCTGCTTCTATGTCTGACATTCTGTTATCTATGAAAATGGCGAAAAGTATGTCGCGTAGATAAAAAACAATAATAGCAGCTTAAATTTGCCTATACGTTTGTCCATTTTTATAGATAACAGAATGTCAACAGTAAGTCATACAGTATCAGAAACCACATAAATAAGTCAGTTTAAGATTAATTCACAACTCAATACAGCCTGAGGCCCTTCACAGCTACACTAGGTTTGGTTGATCAACTACATTGAGGATAAAGAAAATCTTGAGGAAATTACATTTTTTGCAAACCATAACTTCAAAATAAAGGGCCCTCAACAGCATCTAACCTGTATGGATTGCAGGCAGGTCTCAACTTACAGTCTTTTGCGCTGTATTAGTGAGGACTTGTTATGTACATGTGACAGGTTCAAGTCAGAGCTCGTACCTTTATGTGCTCTAAGGCTCCCAGCACTAATAAACTCACATAACTATAGTGTCTAGAATCCACCCCCACCTCCCTCCAAAAAAGGATTAGGGCTGTCAAACCAGTAAAATACTGTAAATGTGTTAATCGCATTGTTTTGTGTAGTTAATCAGGATTAATCGCATTGTTTCGTGTAGTTAATCAGGATTAATCACATTGTATTGAGGTTTGCGATGAAATCATGATAAACTGCACTGAATAATGTGATCATGATTAATCACAGTTTTTGTGCAATTAATCACGACTGATCGCATTATTCAGTGCAGTTAATCAAAATTTGACTTTAAAAAAAGATTTTTTTCAATTTAAAAAGCAGTGTATTTTGCTAAAGCTAATGAAAATAGGCTTCATTACTTCCAATGATCCATTATGTTCATTGTGTGAATGCAGAGGTCACATGAACTTCAAGATGAACATTATATGATTTCCATAGAGTGAACACAGTTTCCAGTTCTCACCACCGATGTCTACTAGGAGCAACAGTGAGTGCACATATCATATCATAGATACATACAGTCAATGGTTCCAAATTCTCCATGACTGTAGCCTCTCACTCTCATTCTTGTTCATACAGTTCATGTATTCTTGTTACAGTACAGACTCTCAAGGGAAACTGGAGCTTTGCACTCAGCTATTGGCTTCAGGCTGCACTAGTACAGATGGTTCAAAGGCTTAATCATTTTACTAATAATTCATTTATGGCCCTTAAACACGTTATAAATATTCTAGGATATTGGTCAACAACCCTGGTCCTGGAGTTTCACCCTCCATCTAACATCCCGAATCCTTGAAAGAGACCTGTGTGCACCTCCTTTTGTCAAAGTAACACTGTCTTCTCTTTTGAAAGCCATAGATAAGATGGAAGAAGATGCATAGAGGAATCTGAGATAATTTCTCAATACAAAATCTCTCCAGATCCTTCAGAATCATTAGTCATCGCTTGTGGACTCAATTCTTCAGCTTATCCTTCAGGTTTCAAAGGGGGTTAAGATCATGGGACTGGGAAAGCCATTGTAAAGCTTAGTTCTGGGGTCAGTCAACCACTTTTGTGTGAATTAGGAGGTTTGGACTGTTGTCTTGCTGGAAGATTCAATCACAACCCAGTGTTCGTTTCCTCATAGAGGTGGACAGGTTATGATCTAAGAATGTTCTGGTATTAGATATATCCAAACAAGACTGTCTCTTCCAAAAAACTCCAGCATCAAAGGTCCACAACCACACTTTACAGGGACTGGGTTCTTTTCCACAAGAAACCAAACCAACCTGTTGTTTGTTTCCATTAATGTTTTTGGTAACCCAATAATTTGTTGGTATTACATGGCATCTAATTGTAGTTTTGAAGACTCCAGCACTGTTCTTGGAGAACACTTTGCCTCTTGAAACATCCTCCCTAGGCTTGGGGATGACATGTACTCGCATCCCTTTCCAGGAAACCTTCTGTTTGAACTTTCTTAATTATTGCCCTGGAGTGAAGACGGATACTTTTAGACATGAAGCTGTTTTTTTTTAGGCCTTACCTGATTTATGAAGGTCAATAGCTCTTTGTCTCATTTATTTGTGGATTTTTTGATCTTCCTCATTCTGATGAATGAGTAAGAGTGTCATGTATATCATATTGAAACAGGAAGTCGTCAACTCAAGGGAGGCATAACAGAATATATGTGCACTTCTTTAACATTTTAATTACGTTTACAACCTGCTGCTAAAAAAAGAGACAAAAATCTGACATAGCAGAAAACGACACGGCCAGTATGAGAATATAAAGTACAGTGTTGCTCTAAGCCAAACCGCCTTGGTTTACTCCCCATAGCTTATGTATGTGTTTCTTTGGGCAGTAGGTGGTAGTTAATGGGACAGAGCTAGTAAATCTCTTTTGGTTGGTTTTTGTTGGTTTTGCTATGGCATTCTCACCACTACTGTCTGGCACTGAAGAAGAGCAAAGATGGAATATACTGAATGAGAGTTAATCATTATGCTTGTGGTTTTTGCACTTTGCTAAGTTGAAATGTGAGGAAAAAATGTTTCCTACAGGATCCAAAACAGACAAGTTCACATAGGTTTGGACAAGGGACATCGTCATCAGTGATAACAAAAGTAACATAGTCCAGCATCAAAAGTGCACTATGATTTTATATAAATTGTTTTTCCATTTGTAGTTCACTGAAACAAGCAGAGAGAATCTGTCTAGTGCAAATTCTAAACGTTCAATTGGTAGCACATTTGTGTTTGTAAGTAGATGTTTGTAAGTGGATGTGCTTAATTATAATTTGAATTTGACAAATATTTGTTGTTGTGCATATACATAGATAAAACATTTTATGTTTAACAGAAAAACTGTAAATATAATACATTATGAAAAAAATATGTAATTTTTTATTCATTTTACTGTATTTGTAACCATACACAAATTCTAATTTAGGTAGGTCCTATCTCAATTTCTACATTTTATAAATGTTTATGTTTTGGCAAATATCTGCAAATATGTACATGAAATATTGCCATCAGCCCAGAATTCCCATATCAGTACATCCCAAATAATATCTCTAGACATCTAAGAGTTAACAACAATTTTAAAAATGCTTTTCTAGCACCAGCCCCAAAACAACAATACATGGCCACAAGTGGGGGGAATGTGTCATATGTCATTTGGAATACATAATGACTGAACTAGAAACAAGCACACTGTCATTGTTTTCCTATTGTCCACTAAGCCTGTGATCAGTGGAAGCCTTCCAGACTATGACCCCTGCAGCTGACACAATGCCCAGACACAAACAAGACCAACAGCCTAGAACACCACCCACTCTCACACACAGCCTGCTCTACAAAGCACAGCAAACCGATCCACTGATCAGTTTGCAATTAGGCTGTAGTGACACCATTGTTCTGGATCTTTCTGCTGGGACAGAAACAGAGGGGAGTGAGGATAATGAATATATATTAGGTGTCTGCTATTGCAGTGTGAGGCAGGTGGTAAATGGGGAATTCTAGCTGACATGTTGTTTCTTTTACTTATCCTCACAAACAAAAAAATCTATATCAAAATCAATACCTTGATTTCAATCCCGATTCTTAAACAATACTTTTTTACAGTCAGAACGTTCTTTCTATTAGACTTCTGAAGGGGGTCATAATGCTGTAGTCAGAGTCATATGACAGGAGTGTATAATCTTATCTGCAAAGGGCTGGTGTGGCTGCAGGTTTTCAGTTCAACAAAGCAGGAGATCAGCTAACGAAATGTATGAAGACTTAGACTAATTAATAAAACAAGTGAAGCCAGGTGTGCTCCAGCTTCTTTGGAGTGAAAACCTGCAGCCACAGGCAGGTAAGATTGGACACCCCTGCCATATGAGGAACTGTGGTTCTAAGCAGTTGTTCTTTAGGGGGAAATTAATAATGCAGATTTGCATATTTTCTCCCCAATTGTCCCTCATGTAAATCGTGATCCTCTGAATTACGACATTGTTTAGCAATCAAAATATGAATAATGCTACATATGTACTACAAGCAAGCTAACACTGAAGTGACATCACATGAATGTAATCTACTATTAAACTTCAACACTGTTATATAACAACACCAGCTATTTAAACTCTAGCCTAAAGCTGCAACAGCCTCTTAACCACCACATCAGACAAAGCTTGCTGGTTTGTGTGAGGTATTTTGGTGAGCTTGCCAGTTGTATGACGTCAGTCCACCTCAGTGTTAGCTCACATGCATAAATATTTGTTTTTAATGACGTTTGGAGGAAACATGCAAGTAGAGCAAAACTTATCGCCTTTTTGTTTACCACAGGGCACAACATCAGCAATTTTGGAAAACACTATTCATTTTCCTACAGAGAAAAACAGCTTAGGTCCTAATATGGGCACGAATGACACCATCTACAGAATGACAACACGACTCCAGAAGCCATTTAAAAAGCGGAAGTGGTTGTGGCTTAAAAAAGAAATAAATGTGAGGTGCTTACAGTGTATTTACTTTGCTGAGCAACAATGTTAATAACATACATATGGAAGGTAATGTAGACA